AGCAATTATAAATAGGAGTATGTATGATTAGGTTGTAGATTATATTAGTGATGAGCAATTTGTCGCAATTTTATTAGTGGTGAGCGAGACTGGTCTTGGTCGTGCATAAAAAGTGCAAGACCAATTGCATTTGCTCATCACTGAATTTTATAAATATGCTTTGAAAATTACAATTTCATTTATATTTATCTTCAAATATTGTAATCGCAAAAAAATTTTTCGAAGCACGTCCTCTGTTTTTTTTCGAATCATATACTCTGTTTTTTTTCTCAGGTTGTGTGTCTCAAGATTTCGACAGACGATGACAGAAAAAAAGCAGATGACTTCCATACCAATCCATTTATTTCATTAAAAAAAGTTTCTAATATTTTTTAAGTTAACTATCGATGGGTTTATAAATAAATACGTCATGCGTCTCTGTTTATAAACAGAGACGAGTTATATTGATTTATTTCAAAATCGACAGATCATATTTCAATATTATTGGTTTGACGCAACGATGAACGACAAACGGACGCCTGTGCGTATGAGCTCGACTTAAGATTTTTGTCAACTCTTGATAAATTTGTCAGAGTTGTCAAACTCTTGCCAAATTATAGGTTATAATTTTGTGTCAAATTATGTCAAATAGAAATGATAAATATTTTGCATTTTGGACTGTATTGTTACTTGTGTTTCGTGTTTTTTAAAATTAAGTGGAGGAAAACTCGAGGGAATATTAAGTGTTTACCCAGACCAGTTTACAGTTAATATTCAGTGCACAGAAACCGCCAGAAACACACTTTGCCAGAGACTATGGCCAGAGAGTTGTATTATCCACACATAAAGTTGTATACCATCTCGTATATGGGTACCAAAAACTGGAGTATCTGTAAAATAATATCACACGATAGGTAAATAATACATTTTAGTACTGCAGAAAAAATTAAGATTGTTAATTAACCATGATTAGATTTTTTCAGTTTTATACAGTTTTTTTCACAATATTTTGAAGTAATCACTTGTCACTCAAAATTTAAATATATTAATTATACACTTTAAATAAGAAGACTAAGGAAGGAGCATAATGCTATCCATGTATTCATGCATGGTGGGCGGAAAAGGCACCATAAAAGCTCTCTAGGGTGGGGATCCTTGACAGTTCTGTTTGACGATTCATTTGACACATTTGAATTTGATTTGAAATTTTGTGGATTTGTCAGTCTTTACGGAGCTGATTTTATGTTATTTATTATTTATTCTACTACTGATAGTTGTATAAAGGTAGTAAATCTAGATGGAAATTGTGGCAGAACTTAAATTAACAGTGACCCTATCGCGATTTATCGAAAAAGACTCTAAAATAGTTGGTTGTGTAGCGTGCGGTAGATCTCGGCAAAAATTGAGTGAAATAATGGAACAACTTTTCCCTAGTAAGTGACTATATAATATACATACGTGTAGTAAACCGATCATTTATGAAATTCACTTAAATTAACTAAATTATATATTTTTCTTGCATTTTAGCTTTTATTTATTACTTGTCAAAGATTAGATGTCAAAGAATTTAGATACGTTAATTTGACTTACCTGCTTCAGTAGCGTATCGGATGTTTGTGTTAATAAATACTTATTATAACTTATCTATTTTTATTACAATTATATATTTTTATAACAATTTTAATAACTACCAACATTTATTCACAACGTAAAATAAAACAACAAATTATTGAGTCTACCCCACGTCTACCCTACATCATAGTTTTACATTTTTTAAATAAAATTAGAACGACACTGATAAACCGGAATTAAAGTCGGCCATATTTGAGGCCCATCGCGGTGTACCTAAGATTTTTATATGCTCCTTCCTTAGTCTTCTTATTCAAAGATTATACGTTCCAATTGTAGGTACCAACTTATTTCTTTGTAAAATAAAATAAACTACTTTGAAATTAAAATGACAGACACATCTATCACTGTCAAGGATTTTGTCGTTGTACAGACTATATCGACATGGATACTAAAGTCTATAAACCTGACTAAATGAAATTTTGGCAAAAATGTTTAAATTTGTTGAATAATTTAAGATACCGACAAGCTCTTCATTTTACTCTATAGAGCAAATGATTGTAACAGATATTTTATTTAGATTAAAGCTGCAAAAATTTGTTTAAACCGAATTTTAATTATCGCTATGTTGGTCACATTGCGCCGTGTTCGGCAATGGTGTCCTTTATTATTTGACAATTATCCTAATGTTACTTATTATTTTGTATAATATCGTGTTGTTGAATCTTTGTGAGCAATGCTCGTTTTTTGTCTATTTTCGTAGTCTTTTTTTTTAAATTGCACTTTTAAGCACAAACAGTTCTTTTAGGAACTAAATTTTCGAGTTTTTGTATTGCATTTCTTGAAATTGTGTGTTGAAAATATGCCGAAGCATTTAACAGTCGAAGCAAAGAGCTTGTAGCTTCCCTGATAAACAATTTGGAAGAGAACGTGACAATAAAGTTTTTTTATTACACTTGACTGCAGTCAGAGAAGTAAGTTTGATTGATAAGCACATTATACCACTTTCAAAGTTAGTTTTTGTTAAATTCTGTAGTTATTACTTTGTGCATTAATAGCACCCTCTTACTTGTTATTACTATTATGGCGTTGTAAGATGTACATTAATAAATAAATAACCCATAATAACGCTTAGAATAATCGTATAATGGACTAGTTTTTGCCAGTATATAATTAGTAAAATAAGCTATAAAACAAATAAAACAATTAATTACTCAAATATTAGTTATTAAATTGAAATTAAAACGTAAAACTCTTTAAAACATGATATAATAAATATATTGTTTGTCGATTTTAAATTAAGATTCATCTCATAAATTCATCACAATCTGGCAGCGCTGTTGTCATCACAAAGTTGATCACGTACATCGGAAATTGTTTTGCGATTACCATAGGTACATAGTGGGAGTATAAATGAAAACGTATCTACAGGGTGTTTCAAAAAACATGTGCCATGGGGAGATTTATCACGAAAAATAAGTTTTATTTTTCATTTTTATATTTTATTTCACATGTTTTTTCAGAACAATTCCGAAAAATTTTGCTGATGTTAGATGCACTATTTTTATTATTAAGATATGTAGCTAGCTCATAGTAAGTATTACCATCCAAATTTCATTCTAATAATGAGATAATGACAATAATATCAAAAGATCTAAACTAGATTGAAAAACAAGAATAGCAAGAAATCAAGAATCTGTAACTAAGATTGCTCATCCTCATAGACGTACGTTCGCTACTTCCCGCGCTTCAGCTGACAGTGTGAGACGTCAATATTATCATAGTAGTCCTTGTCATGATAGTTTTGTATTATTAGTTGCGCCTATGGTAAACTATCAAAGCAAATATGATAGGTGAGAGAAAGTTTTGAGTTAATAAGGTTTAGTTATGTCCATTTGTTTAAATGTGAAAGAAGGCTATAGGTTCTGTAGTACTGTTGGTTGAGAGGGCTGTTCACGAGTGTAAGTAAATAGACACGCGGGTTCATTGTTGTGTTGGTGGCATTGTGCAAAGGGGAAAAGTGCTTACTAAATGTGCCTACGATATTTGTTTAAGAGTATAAGTTAGTGTGGGTATTAGAGCAGAATTTGCATGGACGTGCCTCGAAAGACGAAGTGCGTGCAAAGTAGGTGATCTGGGAACTGCTTGTGTCTTCAAAAATGGGGCATTATCCGGGTTTTAAATACGATTTTTTTACTCAGTTATAATTTTCTATTATACATCGCTGCAAATACATATACCAGAGGAAGAATAAAGTAAAGCTAAATATTGAACGTTTTTGGTATCCGGGACAACCAATAATGCAACGTGTGTGTATGATGCTGGTTGCGGATAAAGTAGTAAATAACGCATGACAACGGACGTGACTAGGTTGAGAGTGGGCTTTGTGTGCAAGCAGAAAGTAGATGACGTGATAAAAAGTAGAGTAGTTTTAGCGCTATGGCACGTGGCCGGTGGCGGAACATTTTGGGCCGAGATGGGCAGTGTAGTTAGGTTAACTTGATTGCTTGAGGTTGGAAGATAGAAAAACTCAAACAGTTGTCTGGAACTGTCCAGACATATTTGGGTGCCTCCGCTCTTCATTTGCTAAGAGCTCTGGGTCTTTTAAATATGTGTTTGTTTTAAAATCATTTGATGTGCGTCGATGGCACAAATGTTGTGGAGAAAATATTGAAGCAAGAACTATTGTTCAGGTAATGTACTAGAACAAATCTCCATCGCTGATCTTTTAAGGAATTAATACAGACTGAACAGGTAACACATGAGCAAAACCGGTCATGTCAATCATACTTCAACGTGTCAGAGGTATGAGTTGTCCAAATGTGTATTGTCAAATTGTAATTCTCTACATGGACTAAGTTATTATCGTGTGACCGGTTAGTATCGCCCGTCTCGCAGGGCAGTTTTTGTAATTATGTAAGCCTAATACCGTATGATCGGATATAGAAAACGGGCGTCCAGCATTGCTTAGAATGGATGATCAGATGATTCCTATATAAATTTACATCATAAAATGACAGCGATCTTCATTTCATAAGGCATGTGACGTGGGCCGTTTTATTGATCAATAACGGTATTTAGAAGAACTCAATATGATTTGAAACATGGACAAATCTGGAGCGGAATCTGTTCTTAAAATTTACTTAAAAATCAGCCTTTTCCAAAATTGTTCAAAAGTGCAAAAGTTCCTCTTGCATTAAACAATAAAAAAAACCTTATTTACCGATTTAAAGGCGTTGCATAGAAGTTCAAATACGGTGAGAGGCGCAAATAATTGGACAGTTGTTGGGATTTTCCTATTGTTTCCAACAATACCATCCTGTTAACTACAATTTGCTTTAATAAACCTATCATTTAGAGTGTACAGTGCTGAAGACTGGAAGAGAACGTGGGATCGGGTTGTGAACTGGGAGTCAAAATGTTTCTCCTGTGGTTCGTGATGTTGCATGCTCTTATTGCGGGCTCAGACCAATTCCCCAATTGGTAAATCCCTTTAGTTTGATCACTTCGTAAGCACTTTGAATCACTTGCTTGTGAATTGCTCTCCAATTTTCTGGGTCAGTTTCTGTGCCCACCTTGGGATTGATATCTTTGAGACGTGTGCCGGCGACGTTAACACTAGACCAAACAGCAACGCGTAAATTACACAAGTAGTATGTATGATGGAGCTAAGTTATTTTCGTTGTAGACAGTATGTGAGGAATGGCGGCAGAGTTACTGATGTAGAGTAGTTCGATGAGTAGCACGAATATTTCTCGTTTCTAAAAGTGATGGTGAGTAAAATGATGTAGCGCAGCTTGAAGGAGTGAGGGAATTAGGATGACAATATGGATGCACAAGGTGTTGTAGCGTGATGGGGGAAATATTTTTTGTGGGCAACTGAGAAACTTTTTTGATGTGTGGCAATAATTATTTATGTTCTTTTTACAAGAGACAGAGGACGGAAATGAAAGTATTAGTCTAAGGAATGGAGAGGTAGATAGGTGGAGGGGGGCGGAATAGTTCGTGGTGCCCGAAAAGAGAAATCGAGGGGTTCATAGTAGGAACAACAGGGTATACGGAGCGTACGTGAGTCGATGTCGGCGCTGCGGCAACAGTGATAACTGTCGTAGACGTAAGAAAAATTTTTACGTGGTCAGAAAAGATAAAAAATTATACCAGAGAGGTGGCGCATGCGTAAGTGTAATACGTTTACGAGGTGTTGTAGGCCACGTCGACCGGGTCATGCCGTTTGTTCTCTAAGTGTGTCGTACCAACACATGGGCCTAGAGTTAGTAGTGGTGATAGGGCCTGTGCAATGAGGTGATGTGAACTTTGGAATTTGGACAGTTACCCGAAGGGCCGGCTGAGGTCTTAAAGACTTTGCCGCCCTGGGCGATGAGTAATTTTACCGGTAGGAGATGCCCAAGTGAGTGATGAGGGGATCGCTTAATTCTCTTCTAGGGACTGCAAAAGATAGTTGAAGTCGACGATGAGAAACAAAGACTGTTAATGTTGTATGCAACAAGCGATAGAAAAAAGGGGTAACAAAATAAAAATCAATATACACATGATGAAAAAGTAAACTTAAAAAATGAATCAACGATGAAATTCTTATTAAAACCGTGTATTTCCGAATGACTATAGACGGAGAGCGCAGCAAGAAGTGTCGGGTGTAACTAGCTGGTCAGACCGGGTGGTGCTTAATAGTGACGGTTATTGAATTAGCCGAGCATTTAGCCTGAGGTGCATTCATTCAGTGGATGAGCACTGATAGATGACTTGTTAGTGCATGGTTAGCTCAAGAGTTGTATGATGGCTCAAGTACGTGTTAATTATGTTTCAGAGCTTGAGAAGACTTCTGCAGCTCACCACTTTGCAACAGTTATCGGTGGGACAAATTGATCTTAGATTGTGACAGATCTGCTGAAGGGCTATATATCTTGTTAGGGTGGCAATATTGTAGTTTAGAACGTCGGTGTTATAGATTTCAATGGGGAGTTTTTGTTTTTGGGTTCCACGCATAACGTTATACATCGACCAGAGAGTTCGATCAGTACAGTGGTCTTAGGTCGCGGCATTCGAGTCTAAGCATCTTCAATGTGTTTAGGACAATGGGTTCTAAATGCATGGCAAGAAACTCAATATATCTCAGCGCGGCATAGAATTTGGAAGCGAAAGGTAGCCATGATCATATAAACAAAGATGGAAATATTTACTGTGCTCTTTTATTTGCTCGAAACGCTGATCGAGAGAGTTTGCAGCTGCGTCTAATGATATTGGGAAAAAAAAAATCTTTGTCATGTTTGGGTCAACTCATACGGTATTTCAGATCTGGAACTTGCGGTAATCCAATACGTGCGGTTTATACTTTTACGTGTAGCGGGAGGTCTTGAGGGTGATGCTTAAGGTTGGTGCTCATGGAGAGTGGCGACGTGGCTTACATCAAATCTGCGCCTAAAAAACGTGAGGTTGGTTGTAAAGATGCGTTGTCAGAGGCTGAAGAAATTTGAAGTTGATATAGTCTTTGTTGATCCAAAATATTTTGTGTTTGTTTTTTTTTTTTTTTTTTTTTTATAATAATTTTACTTATTGGTAATTTATGTGATTTAAGACGTCGTACCAAATTATAACAGAGCATAAAAATTTAAAATTCTTCAGTTGTTCCAGCAAACCTGAAGCTTCATTTCTTGCCGAAATCTGATTTAACCTTATAGATAGTTCTGACCAGGATTTTTGGGCTAACATGTGGGCAACTGATAGTTCATGTTTTTTCAATGTAACTCCAGTATGTTCCAGTTGTTGAATCCTTCATTAGATAGATTACGGTTTTATTTTGCAATGAAGGCAAAATTTGCAAGAAGAAGGCAGAAAAGAGAAGGTTTTGAGAAAGTGATGTATATTAAACCGATTCTTTTGACGGATTCGTTCGCTAGTTTGCTTGGAAAGAGCGTTAAAATTAAATGAGGTAATTTTTCTCCCGTTTTTATCAAGGGGAAATCTAAAATTGGTTAGTGCTTAGAGGTGGTGGCAGCTGGTGACTAAAAAAGACTCTATTTGGTTGAGCGCCATAATGAATTTTCCTGGGCAGTTTGGCTGGAATCAGGGAATCGATTCGGGACTAATTAGTTAGTCTTCTGTGGGTCATGCGAGCTGCGGTATGCATCTTACTAGGCGGGAAACCTGTTCTAATGCCATGTCGTCATTTTGCAGAGTATAAATTAAAGAATGGTGAACGTGACGAAGGGTCGCTGTATCTGAGCGGACGCGTGTGCAGCGCTGACAGAGGTCAGCGCTGACAGAGGTTGATCTTCTGGACCTTTATTATTTTCTGTAGTGTATGCGTGAGGAAATGTGCTATTGTGTCTCTTGCTCGCGCAACTGCGATTGGTCTTGTGGCTTAAGGCTCGAGGGCTGAGTAGCTGGCTACACAACACACATGGATGAAGGCCTTTAAGGCGGCGTTGACTGGTCCAATCATAGCGAGTACAGAAGTTCGCATAATAATAAGCTTATTTAAACAATTGTGTTAGTATCGGTTCTATTTATAGTTTAGATTTTCTTTTCAAAATCTTTGGGCCAAGATGTGTTACATAAAATATCTACGGGCAGGAATTTTGAGTGATGAGTTTGCCGAACACCTGGATGTGTTCGCGCGCCCCGGTGATGCGAGCAGGCGCCCGCGTACGGAGCGGACCGCCACTAGTGGCGAAACCGCTGCCCTTAATCCGGCCTTGCGGTTCCATCGCTGTCGGCTTTTCTATCGTTAATTTTATTAGGTAAGCAACTTGCGGCCATGCTGACGCAACGCCGTCACTAATAGAACAGCCTAGGAGCAAGATTTATGACGTCACGCTAGTTAGATACTACGGATTAATAAATATATTAGTAGAATACATGAAACAGTAATTATTCCTCGGTATTTATGGCTTTGTATTTTTAAAAATGATATAGTTTACATGAAAAATACATTATATACACAGTTAATAAATACAATATTTTATATAATAATAATAAAAAGTAATAAACAAATTTTTTTTTTATTTTAGATTATAAAAAAAAAATAAAGAAAACATTCCCAACAAGTGGTGATACGAGTTAAATAGAGAACTACAACATTTTGGTGGCAGCGACTACAAAATTGGTGACGACGGTGGTCCAATCCAGGATCACGAACAGTGTCTTTTCAGTAGTTTGCCTTTTTTTTAACGTACTTTTTAATCTGCGAATTTTCAATGTGGTACGACAGTGTCAAGTGTGTTGAAAAATAAGCTCAAATTAACCGAATTTGTCTTTTCACAGGTAGGTATTGCTTCCGCCGCGCCGTAATCGCCGTACATAGGCGTCCCACAAAAAATAAAATAAAAAAAAAAAAAATTTTTAATTATATTTGTTGAATTTCTTTGCGCTATTAGAACAAACCCCACGTAGTGGCCGGTAATTGAATTATAATTTCGTCTCAATTACTACTTAACGTAGTAATAACAAATTTGAATATAACGTGGGTGCATTTGAACTGTTTATTATAAGCCAGAAAGTGACATTTTTTTTCTTAAAATTGCGTCATTATTTCCTGGTTCATTATATACGATATTCTAAACGAATTTATTTGCCTCAAAAAAAAACAAAGGTGTTTACCCGCCATTTTTTACATTTTATTGCATTATTATATCTTCCCCTTCGGCCTCGTTTAAACAATTCTTTAACCACCGTACAAACCTTTCCTAGGTTTATTTGTATGGTTGTTTACCTTTTTTAGATGGGACGAACTGTAAATAATTCTTAGGCTACTAGTTTTCTACATACCTAATACAAGTGACCCAGGCTCCAAATAAGCTTTTTTAACCTATTTACGTTTTTGGGTTTTGTAATTATTTCAATTTTTACATAAGATGGCGGGGACACATTGTCCAAACGGCACATATTTTCGAAAAATTTAGTCAACATACAGGGTGATTCTCGGGGTGATTCAAACCGCAAAACATATACTTAATTACAGTTCATGAAAATTAGGACATTTAACTAAAATTGATTGTCTGATGAAGCAACCTTTAAAAGTAATGGAATTGTAAATAACGTTAATATCATATTATGCGACAAACATCCCATACTGATATGCCACAGATGATACTTTTTAATGACTAAATGCCTTCTATTGAGAGACCAAAAGGTAATTGCCTCGTATCAGAGCCATCCTAATACAAGAAGAAGACCATCACAGTCACCAATCTTGTCTTATATTTTCAAAAAACACCAATTTCTTATTAGAATATTGATTTAGATAGGAAGTTATTAATAAATTACAAGAATTAAACACTATACACAGTACTTTAAAGGAAGCTATCGAGTGCGAACTAACTAAATCGTTACTAATTACTAATTTTAAAAAGTTCTTTTTTAAGATCAAAAAAGGTAAAACTAAAAACCTTAAATTATCATTTGAGCATTAAACGGGAAGTCTAGAATAATCGTTGCCTATTCTAACAAAGAAAAAATTTATTATAAGTTTATAACATCTCTAATTAAATTTGGACGAAAATAATTTCTGTTTGCTGTAGTTAATTTTCTCAGGGAAAAATACCCGTAACTAAATTACTTTTAAGTCAAAAAAAGTCAGAAGGACAAGTTATGCCAAAAAAGGACTGTCCTTTTCAAAAAGGACAGGTGGCAACCCTAGATATTTCTGGAATGGAAATTAATGGCAAATCTACACTCTTAGTTTGAAAATATGTTTCGGCCACCTAAGTTTACAAAAATGTCTAAAATGTGCTTTATCATTGCCTCCATATTCTGGAAAAAAAAATTGAAAGAAAAGTCACCAACCACAAACCTAATATAGAACTGTTTCGGAAGCCTGATTCACCCTGTTAAAAATATTCAAAGTAACTTGAAAATCTATATAGAATTAATTGAAAGTTTAAAATTGAAAATCGACGTTGGAGCGATTTTCGAAAAACTACCTACTAACGTTTTAACATAAGTATATGTGGATATTAATTATATTATTATATTAACATTATAACAAAACTCATCTGACGAAAAAGTATATTTTTTACTTATAATTTTCGGTTTTAATATGGAGTAAACATTTTACAATTACTTTACTTTTACTTTACTAATTAAATTCGTTCCAAAAAACGATACGCCACTGGCCATTATAGAACAATCCAAATGCGCCTAGTTGTTGGGGTCGGAAATTTTAGACTTCTCTATCTCTTCTGTCCTTGTTTGACACATTGGAATGTTTGATACACTACCACAGACACTACCAACGAGTATTTATGAATGAAATGTTCGGTCTATATTTATAATGTCTTTGGTTATTCATTTTATAGACTATAAATGTAATTTTGACCATTGTACACTTCCCGTTTGTTATGTGAAAATTTAAGTTCTAACCCTGGATAAGGCTCAGCAAGTAGTTGGTTGCCCCTTGCTCCTCGGCAGAAAGACCCGACCGTGGTTATTATACAGGGTCGCTTTTATGTATGGAATCGGTCGATTATTAGGTAAAATATAGGACTCGATATAGGAGGTACCGCAAAAAGTTAAATATAAAATTTATAGGGTTTATAACTATCCATTACTGGGTAATAAATTTAAGTATACAGGGTCGGTCATAAAGTCGTGGCAGATCACAGTTTCGGCAGAATGGCATCATTAGATCAAACCGAACACATCGAAATTATTTAAATCGAATTGTTTAAGTGATATTTTCAAAAGTCAATAACTCGGAAACGGTTGCTTTGAGGTACATTGTCGTGTGTAATTTCAATTTTTGCTTAGAATTGAAGGAAGAATTGAAATATGTAATAATATACAGGGGGTTCTATTTAAAAAAAATAAACTTTGATGTGCCACAACTTTATGAACGACCCTGTATACTTAAATTTACTACTCGCTTAATAGATATTTAAAAATCCTATAACTTTTATATTTAACTTTTTGGGGTACCTCCTATATTTTACGTAATAATCGACCGTTTCCCTACATAAAAGCTACCCTGTATAGAAAAATATATGAAAGTAGTTTTCAAAAATATAATAATATACTAGGTAATTTATTCCATTTAAACTTTTCCATTATTTGAAAAGTGGCGACAATATAACGCTGAAAATAATTTAGATAGATGGAGCAGGTGCCTGTATGTAAAATAAATCTAAATTTTCAAAATAAATCACCGGTTCTCCATAAACGTCGCATCGCCGTGAATCACCCTATATACCTACGTAACTAAATTAAAAAAAATAATATGGTGTTTCCATATATTCAATTTTTGTTATTGTTGGCTATCCACCAATAAATTTTAATTATTCATATTTTTTATGTTTATAGGACTAATAGGAAAAATAATAAGATGGGTCACTAATTGAAAATGTGGTCAAGTCAAAACGTTGTACTTAAATTTCTATTTCTTAAATTTTAGTATCATACACACACCGGAAAAATCTAGGGATATCATTTTATTAAAGTTAAAAATAAATGTTTTGAATAAACAACCACATATTTTAGGCCGATTCTTTCTACTTCGATTGAAACGAAGTAGTCACACTAGTTATTTCTAAATTTGGGATATTTGCAGAAGTGTTTGTGCACTTTTTGTCAAATGTATAAAAAGCACCTAGCATCGATTGTTCGAATTTAACCTGTACTGGCTATGTTTTTATGTTAACTGGCCAGAATTCATTCAAATAACTCTGTTTAGTATTAAACGACATTATGGAGCGTAGACATCTTAACAGAGACGAAATGCTAAGGACGATGGGTATGCTTGAAGCTGGAATGCGCCAAATCGACGTAGCTAAAGCATTAAATACAAGGCAAAGTGTAATACGCGATTAAGTGCACGCTACCGTGAAAGTGGTGATGTTGCTGAAAGACACACAAGGCGACATCGCATTACTATCCCTCAGCAAGATCACGACGCCGGCCGACTCTTACAGCACTAGAGCTTAGATTAATTCTCCAGGAAACACATAATGTAACCGTTAGTCCTGACACTGTTCGCAATAGATTAAGAGAGGTCAACTTAAGAAGCAGACGCCCCTGGAGAGCTCAACCCTTAACGAGAGGAAATCGAGAGGTACGATATTTGTGGGCTCAAGATCATGTTCAGTGGTCGAATGAACAATGGGCCAATGTTCTCTTCACGGATGAGTCACGCTTTGGAATTCATCCGGATTCGAGAAGGCTTAGGGTATGGAGAGAACCGGGAAATCTTATTCGGTTGGATCATGTTCAGGAAGTGCATCCTTATCAAGGTGGAACAGTTATGGTCTGGGGAGGAGTCCAGTTAGGCCGAAAAACCGATCTCGTTTTTCTTGAAAGGTTTCTAACAGGAATCACATATCGTGATTTAATTCTTGAGCCTGTCGTGTTACCATATGCCAATGATTTTGGGAGAAACTTCATTCTCATGCATGACAATGCCTCATACAGCCACATAGCCTCATACAGCTATGGCCTCATACAGCCAGAGTGGTAAGTGAGTTTATCAATGCTCATCAATTAAACATCTTACCCTGGCCGGCACAATCTCCTGACCTCAACCCCATCGAGCACGTATGGGACGCGGTCCAAAGAAGAATTTTGAGAATGGGTATGCCTCGTGAAACTCGTAGGGATCTGGTTCGGGCCGTGAATGCAGCGTGGCAGGCTGTACCTCAAGAAGAGATCGACAACCTGATCAGGAGCATGGAGAGGCGATGTAGGGCTGTAATGAACAGTAAAGGAGGCCATACCCTTTATTAAGTAAAAATGGTTTTATCTTTTTTTTTCAATTCGCAGTTTAGAATAAAAAAAAATGTGTAAATTTTGTTGAGTTCAATAAAAATCAAGGTAAATTTGATAAATTCGGTAAATTTTGCATTTTTATTTCCAATACGTCCTGTAAACTATTTGTTTATTTTAATTTTAATATATCAGAAATGCAAATAATAAAATTACTGACGATGGCTGGATAAAATTGTAATATCCCTAGACTTTTCCGGTGTGTGTGTATGTTATAAGATTAGAGACGAATATAACAACAATTTATAAGCAACTGACCATAATATCAATAACGATTACGAAATAAAAGAAATCTTATTTACCACTAGAATCTCCATGCTCTCCAATAATCCAAGCATGCACACTGTCGGGCGATACGCCAAGCTTCTCGCCAATAAAAAATCGAAACCTTGACGAGTCAAGTGTAGTACCAGATCCCATAACTTTGCTTTTCGGTAAACCACTCAACTTCCATGTAACCCACGTCAAAATATCACAAGGATTACTAACAACAATAAGGACGGTATCCGGAGAATGCTTTATAAGGTTTGGAACTATACTTTTCAACACATCCGTATTCCTTTGGACTAGATCTAAACGGCTTTCACCTTCCTTTTGTCTCACACCTACGTTGACAGATATAAATGACAACTAAAGTATTTGCAAAAATTCGTCTTTTACCAGCTGTAATGACGCAAACTTGCGAGTTGGCAGTAACAGCATAATCAGAACTAGCTTTAATTCTGGCATTCAGAAACAGACACCCGTGTTGGAGGTCGTACAATTCTCCTTTAAGCTTATTTTCGTTGACATCTACGAGAGCTACTTCGTTAGAAATTCCCTAAGAGGAAAAATAACTCTCATAATACTGATTAACACATAAAAATGTTATTACCTGTGCTAATACACTGAACACGCAAGCCATACCGACATCCCCAGATCCAACAACTGTTACTTTATTGATGCTCGTGTCACACCGTTCGCCAATATTATGGAATAGACTGTCCTTCGTACTCATCTTAAAGCAGGACTTCTCTGATAATCTTCTAAAATTGGCGTGAAAAGTTTTAGTGCCTACAATTCGATTAAGGCACTGAAGCTTGAGTGATCTATAGAGTACTGACATTATTTGACACAATGGCTAGGTATTTCAACAATTTAGTGTAAGGTAGTTCTGTATTAACAAGGTATTAACACATGTTGGTACCTACTGGTTTAAGAATATAATATATTTTAATTTTTCCAGTAAACATAAAAAAAATATTTTATTGGTGTAAGCTGTTGTAAATTATTTTTCTTTCGGATCTAGAAGATAATATCCCAAAATTTACCCCCAAACATTTAACTAACAGACCAATAAAACTTTTTGACTATTTCTAAATACTCTAATCAGCAATGGATGTCATCCTAGACCTAACACCACTGCGCATTGTCGTCGGTAGTAATGCCAATGCGATAATGATTAGAATGGTCATTGACGGAAACAGTACTGGTAGAATTTTCAGGTCAGGGGCGTGGAACACCCTCAAAAAGAAAATTCCACTCCTCTAACTCCCAGTCGATGACATACCAAGAATTTACAACTTTGAGAAACACCTCACTATAGTATTGAGCAATAAAAAGGAGTGAAAAAGAGAAAAATGTTCGCTCAGCATGTAAAAGACCATAACGTGATAAACTGATGCTTCCAAAAACAAAGCGGGGACAGGGATAGGAATATTTAGGCCGAAAACTAAATAGTCCGAACCAATGGGCACCTACCCCAGCATCGTTCAGGCAGAAATCTACGCTATCAGAAGATGCGTACCTACAATTTATCTTAGATAGCAACTATCGAAAACAGGAAATAGCTATCTTATCCGATAGTCAAGCAGCACTAAAAGCGATCAAATCAGTCACCATCAATTCGATGTTGATCAAAGAATGCCTAGAGAAGCTCAACAAATTAGGCAAAGAAAATAAAGTCCTCCTACTCAACGAAAAAGCAAACGATCTAGCTAAAAAAGGCGCGAACGCTCTACTAACTGGACCAGAACCGTTCTGCTTTCCAAGCGGAAACCTGCAACTTAAAGCGGAACTGAAGAACCGAGAAGACTCCATCTGTAACCTGGAATGGGAATCCTCCAACGGTCAAGACACTAGAAAAAGTTCCTCAGAACTTACGACCGAGAAAAATCAAATATTTTCCTTGATTTAAGTAAAAACAATCTTCGGATTGTCACAGGGTTCCTAGCAGGACACTGTCTCCTCAACGAACATCTCAGTAGATTGAAGCTGAGAAACAACGGCGAATGCAGATGCCGCGGAGAAAATGGGGAAACACCAGAATCTTTATCACTGAGTGCGTCGAGACGACAACTGTTCGTGCCATAAACTTTGGTAATGGTTGATGTCGAAGATGGAGAGTTGGCCTCTGTGGAGCAGGCTCAGATACTAACCTTTGCTAAAGCCCTGAGACTGCATGATGAGTTAAAACTCGTTATAACTCAGGAAATGGGAACACACAATAGATCTGTAAGGTCGCGGTGATTAACCCCCTCCTAAACATTCTATATTCAAATGCTCTAGAGTGACCAAACCAAAACGAAGACATTCATGTTTGGACATGCCTGTCGTATGCGTACGCACTCCGTTCCTATCAGCCTTTAGAAGTTCATCTGTTCTACGTTTGGATGGCCTGCTAGGATTGTCTCGGCATGTTCCATTCCAGGACTGTCATACCAGTCCCGAAACGTCGCACCCCTAACCCATTCACAGAGCCTTGTTTCTTGCGAGATATTTTGGTACGCCCGTAATATCGTGGGCCCAGAACTTATCTGTGCCCACGAATGGGTGAGCCTGCACCAGTTTTGGCGAGGGAATCAGCACGTTCATTTCCCTCTAGGCCGACATGTCCCGGTATCCATATTAGCGACACTTTGTTCTTATCTCCTACTATACTCCTACTATAGTAGTTTCTTACAATGAAGAATCGCCATAGACGTGCTTTTCGTTGCCTCAAGTGCTTTCAACGCGGCTTGACTATCCGAAAATATGCTTATTGTTTTCCTGGTGTATTGCTGTTCTACCAGCAGTTGCACACAGGTTTCAATAGCATAGAGCTCAGCTTGAAAAATTGTGGTGTGTTTTTCAAGACTGTGGTAGATCTCAGTCTTTGGACTGCTGCAGTAGATTCCTGCGCCAGATCCTTTGTACGTACAACTGTAGGTACAGATGTATCTTGTATGTCTGTACTATATTATGATTTTGCTCATTTTAATACTAGACACTTCTTCACAAAGTTGGTTAACACATAACTTGGTTAACACTTAACATAACACTTCATAAAGTAATTAATAAATATGTTTTATTTTTCACAGATGGATATATTTTACCAAAATCATGTGAATTTATGGCATATGTGACATTATGCTCTTAGATTTAAGCAGATTCTTCACAGTGGTAGTTAAAATTCGTCATTCATGTTTATAAAGAAAATAAAATTAAAGTTTTAGTTAGCCGATTCAGAATAAAGGAACATCAAATCAGGATTCTAGTATACTGTGGATCGAGGACAATATAGAAGAGCTGATAGGCTTGCCAACGGATAGTTCAGACAAAATCTCTATCCATCCAGAATAGGGCTAAAACACCAGTACAGCAAGTTATCACAAATAACCCTGTACAACGCGACGCGCAAGACGTCGCACAGTGCATAAAAGAAACATATTTTCTCACTATATACCGTTTTTCACATAAAAATTTAAAAAAAATTGTATTTTTTTTAACTTTTAGATTTTCTTGTAAATTTAATCTACTCACTATGGTGCCATATTATCAAGAAATTATGTTTTTTAAATAAAAAAATCCAAAAATTCCAAATTTAAAAAAAAAATGTGAAAAAAAACTCATAATCGTGTTTCTGGGGTCGAAATATACTACCCCTAAAATATTTGCACTTATTTAAGACTCACCCTATATATACAGGGTGCTATAAAGTCGAGGTACGAGCATTGATATCTCGGTATCCGTAATAGATACGAACATAGTTAAATTGAGGCAAAGTTGCGCTTTGGGATGTCCACCAAGATTGCATCAAAAAATTGATAATTTCAAGGATTGCTGAGTTTTTTGAAAAAAAAACGGATTTTTTGGAAAATCAATTTTATTTTTTCCTGTCATTACATTTTAGTTCTTTCAAAACCTTAAATAAAAAATGCAGCTCCGTATTTAAAAAAATGGCTCTGTATCTCACAAGTTCTAAATCTAAAATCTAAAAATACGATCCGATAGCACTAATAAAGTGGCTAATAGAATGTGCAATTAGTTTTTTAATTTCACAAAAAGTAACTACAGGACAAAATAAAATTGATTTTCAAAAAAATCCGTTGTTTTTTTTTCAAAAAACTCAGCAATCCTTGAAATTAAAAAAAAATGATGGCGTCTTGGTGAAGATCTCAAGGAGCAACTTTGCCCCAATTTAACCATCTTCGTATCTATTAAGGGCCGGCTACACGTACAAGCTTTACCACGAGCTTACCTGCACAAACCTGTTTGTATCATGAACTCGCTGTGTGTAGACCATAGACTTAAAATAAAATATAGACTACACTATTTACATCTCAACGCGGACAAACAACCTTTTTTGTACACATGTTTACTTCTGGGTACAGTCGACCGAGCCTTCCTCATCCAGCCTATGTTGTCACGTCTTTAATATTATCAATATTTTTTTTCTTGTTATACACATATATTGAACTCGCTGTGTGTAGACGGTAAAACGGTAGCACGCACAACAGTATCATGAACTCGCTGTGTGTAGACGGTAAAACGGTAGAACGCACAACGTATCATGAACTCGCTGTGTGTAGACGGTAAAACGGTAGCACGCACAACAGTATCATGAACTCGCTGTGTGTAGACGGTAAAACGGTAGCACGCACAAACCAACAAAGCAACGGCCTAGCTACGTTGAAACACCGGTTCCCATTAGAACACCGAAGTTAAGCGACGTAAGGCGATACTGGTGGATGGACGGGTGACCGGTTCGAAACTCTGTATATGCTGTTGATCAAGGGAAAAGTGTAAAATCTATTGATACACACTGCTCATTCACGCCGGTTCGAGACCGGATGAGATCGGATATCTCGTGAGTAAGAGTTGATTTAGACACTTGCCAAGTCGGTAGGCCATTGACCATGATATGGTCGAGGACCGCGGTTCGGATTCCGCGTAAACAAAGTAGGCCCCGTCCAGATTAGCCATGGCAGCAAAAAGAAAACGTTAACTGAAATCTTTATCTTTATCTTCACAGTGGTAGTTAGAATTCGTCATTCATGTAAAGAAAATAAAATTAAAGTTTTTTAGTTAGCCAATTCAGAATAAAGGAAAATCCTCGGGAAAATCAAATCAGGATTCCAGTATACTGTGGATCAAGGACAATATACTCGTAGAAGAGCTGATGGGCTTGCAAAAGGTAGTTCTAAAAGCTAGGCTCATAAAAATATTGGCATTTATTTAAGACTCACTCTGTATATACAGGGTGGTACAAATTCGGGGTACGAGCATTGGTATTCCGGTAACCGTATTAGATACGGACATGGTTAAATTGGGGCAAAGTTGCGATTTGGGATGTTCGGCAAGATGGCATCAAAAAATTTATAATTTGGATTACAATGATTGACAACAAGGATTGCTGAGTTTCTGGAAAAAAAAAGATTTTTTGGAAAATCAGTTTTATTTTTTCCTGTCATTACTATTTAGTTCTTTCAAAACCTTAAATAAAAAATGTAGGTCAGTATTTAAAAAAATTAAGTTGGCCTCTGTATCTCACAAGTTATCAGCTGATTTGAAAATCTAAAAATACTATCCGATAGCAGGGCCGCCGCTACCATGTGTGCAAAGTGTGCGGTGCACACGGGCGGCCAGAAGCAGGGGCAGCCAAAACAGGCACCATAATTTTTTTTATTAAATACAAATAACAAAAAAATTAGATAATAATTCTATTTTTCATAATAAAATTCTTATCAAATAGTTTATGATCTCTCTTAAGCAGAGAAAAGGAAAAGTCGGACAAAAATTTAAGATCTTCCATTTCAAAAGAAGTTCTTCGTGAAGGAGATGAAGAAAATTCTATTTCAGAGCAAATTACTTCTGCTGCAGCTAGTCACATAAATA